ATATTTTATATCTTTAAAATATAATGGATAAATCACATATATTATACCATTTATTAAATATAATAATCAATTATATTTATATTTTTACACTTAGTTATAAATATGAGAAACTTGAATTCATTATCTTGGTCTATCAAGTTGTTTAATGGTTAGGTCAATAATAGACGCACATGCTTACTGCACACGTGGCTTTCTTGAAAAACGTACGATAGTGAAAGCCATTATAATTAATAACATTGTATCTGTATAATTATTTTTACGTTTATAATACATTTATGTAAAAGTTTTCTTATAAATAACATTTTATTTTCAAATGTTATTAATAAATTATTAAGTACAGAAATTAACGAAAGGAATAATCCATAACAACGTTGCATAAAAAGATGATGTTATTGAGAGTCAAGGTAACATGTAGAGAATGTCAATTTTTTATACAGTGATGCATAGCAGTTTACTACGTAAACGTCACTCATATCTTATCTTGAAAGTAAGTAAATTACATATAATATATCTTAAAACAAACCTAAGTCACAGTAAATCTTACTTTGATAAGATGTGTATAAAAATGTAAATGATGTTGCATTTAATAATTCAAATATATATTTGTAATATTGTATGATCTTTAATGGTATTAATTATTTATTGAACTTTTTGTTGAATTAAAATAAAAAAATATTTCATCTATGTCAATTAATATTTTTATAATGATTCATTATATTATGATTTAATTTTTAATTGTATAACTTCCTATATTATGTTTTGCTAAGGTCAACATTATCTCAGGGTCATATGACATTAAAATCTAAATACATGATTAGAGCATGCTTCTTTCAACTGATAACCATATAAGTTATTGCTTAAAATTCATAATGATTCTTCTCTGTACAGAATATTCAGTTGGCTTTTATTAATGAACAATACAATATTCTTAAGTACAGAAATTTGAGGAAGTAAAATCATGAACTATTTTGTGGGCGTTGATGTAGGAACCGGAAGTGCAAGAGCTGCATTAGTTTCTTTAAATGGCAAAATTATAAAAGTTGCAGTATGCCCTCTTGAGATTTTTAATCCTGTGAAAGATTTTTATGAACAATCTTCTGATAATATTTGGAGTGCTGTCTGTAAAGTAGTAAAGGTAAGTGATTGCTATTAATAATTTTAAATTAGTATATTTTTAAATAGTACTCTATCTTTGTTTTTATTTTCTTTATTTTTTTTTTAGACAGTTACAGAAGGCACTTCAATTAATAATATTAAAGGTATTGGATTTGATGCTACTTGTTCTTTAGTAGCCATAGACAAAAATGGATTACCAGTCAGCGTTAGTCCATCAGGTAAAAAAATAATTAGACAATTAGACAAATGAACATTTATAAATGACATTTTTTACTCATAAATAATATTTCTAGGAAAAGATAAACAAAATGTTATACTTTGGATGGATCATAGAGCTCAAAAAGAAGCAGATTTTATTAATTGTCTTAGACATGATATACTTTGTTACGTAGGTGGGAAAGTTTCTTTAGAAATGCAAACTCCTAAAATGCTTTGGCTTAAAAACAATTTACCATTGTCTTGGAATCGCGCGGCATTACTTTTTGATCTTCCAGATTTTCTTACTTGGAAAGCAACTGGTTCTGAATCGAGGTAATGATATTTTGTTTTTCTTTTTTTTTCTTTTTTGTTAATTAAAATATTATAAAAATTCTTACGTGTGCGTGCATGTTTTTTTTTTCTTTATATTTATAGATCTTTGTGTTCTTTGGTTTGTAAATGGAATTATTATGCTGAACCAGGTGTAAATGGTTGGAAGGAAGACTTTTTTAATCAAATTGGTTTACAAGATCTTAAAGAAAATAATTGGAGTAAATTAGGTATCAATAATCTCTCTGATATCTCATATAATATTATACTAAATTCTTATGTCATGCTATAAAATAAATGAAAGTATTATTTTTCTAAAGGTAATAAGGTAAAAGCACCTGGAGAACCGGTTGGTCAAGGATTATCTGCAAAAGCAGCATTAGAATTAGGACTTTTAAAGGGAACAGCAGTGGGTACTTCCCTTATTGACGCACATGCTGGTGGACTTGGTATGATAGGTTGTACAGTTCCTGGCATATCTAATAAATTATCTAGCCGATTGGGTATGTAAAATATTAAATAAAATAAATTCAATATGTATTTATATATTTTGAAGATGGACAAAATTTTATTACAAAATTGCAGCACTTATATGCGGTACATCAACATGTCACATGGCTGTAAATGAAAATAAAATATTTATTAATGGTATTTGGGGACCTTATTATAGTGCTATGATTCCTGGCTTATGGCTTCACGAAGGTGGTCAAAGTGCAACTGGAAAATTACTTGACCATGTGATTGATACACATCCTGCTACTCCTAAGATCCTTAAATCTTTAGAAAATAATATGTAATTTTCAAAGCATTAATGTTTAATATGACAGTATGTACTGTATACATACTATATACGGATATAGTAATAACATTATTTATTTCAGGCACATTCAACAATATTTATCTGGATTGTTGCAAACTATGGCAAATAAAAAGAATATAAAAAATGTATCCTATTTAACAAAATATGTTCATGTTTGGCCCGATTTCCATGGAAATCGTTCTCCTCTTGCTGATCCAACGCTCAAAGGAATGGTAAATAACTAATGAATAATTAAAATTTATATTATAATTTAATAATACGTATAATTTCTTTTAATTAAGGTTTCAGGTCTCTCCTTATCAGTGGATGAGGAAAACTTAGCAATATTATATCTAGCTACGATACAAGCATTGACGGTACAATGTAAAATTTTTATTTTACAAGCATATTTCATCTAATAATTATATTTATATATACATATATTTTTTTCTCCTTTTTATTATTATTATTATTATTTCAGTATGGTACGAAATATATTTTGGAAACTTTAATAGCTGCTGGTTATGAAATTGAAAGTATATTAATTTGCGGTGGTCTTAGTCAAAATCCATTGTTTGTTCAAATTCAAGCCGATGTTTTGGCTTTACCTGTACTTTGCCCTATAGAAAAGGAATCAGTTTTGATAGGTGCAGCTATTCTTGGATCATATGCCGCAAGGGAATTTGTTTCTATGAACGCTGCTATAAAGTCAATGGGAGGTGAAGCACAAGTTATACAACCACAAACTGAATGTTACGAGTAAGTATTATTTATTACTTATTATTTATTTTGATCTTGAATGTGGTTTTCTTTTTTTTTTTTTTTTCCAATTGCAAAACTTTTTTTTCATTGTAGATATCATTTACGAAAATACGAAGTTTTTAAAAGAATGGTCCAAGATCAGAGAGATTATGATAAATTTATGAATGAAGAAATAAATACCTGATCTGAATATTATCTATTAATTAGCATTTAATAATGCATAAAGTTATTGCTATTACAATGAAAACAAAAAAAAAAAGAAGATATTTTATATTACCTTTATATGTATTATGTGCAAATCTTTGTAGATCTTTTGTACTTATATGTAAAATAAAAAAAATATATATATGTGTATATATATATATATATATAGAATACAATATATAGTTATATTTATTTTTATCACAAATTACATTTTGTAATATAAAGAATGTGTGCTTATCATGTGCTTAACAATTTTTAATACATTTCTATATACTTAACTTACTAATTTATATAGTAAAAAAAAAAAAAACATAATCATAACAGTATTGCTACAAATTTCATCTTTGAAAAAAATATCAAAAGTCCCTTAATGAGAACATTTTATTTTAAAAATATCGAGTAGTAAGAATAGGCGTCTCTAATATCATTATACAAGTCTAAAAAACAATAGTAACGTACTTTGGTAAAATTCAGTGGAATCTTCATGCGTTACGTTTTCAGAAATCAAATGATTATTACTTGTTTAATATATAAATTGAAGAGGAATATTTTTGGTGAAAATTTAAATCTTTATTAAAATATAAAATGTGGAAATAAATATAGAATATGAAAAATCAATAGGAATATATGGAAGCAATAATTTCTTTTCTTTTTTTTTTTTTTTTTTCTATCACAACAATAGTTCTTCATATAAGTTATTCCATTCATAACTTAATCTTAAAGAACTTATGATTTCTCATGGTTTTCTTTCATGATTAAGGAAAACTTATCCTGCTATCACGCATGTACAATTATATTTGTTATAATACTGGTAAAATGCTTTGGATATGATGCTACTTATGTTCACAAAAAAAGTATTATCTCAGATTCAATGTTTTTCTTTTTTTTTTTTTTTCAATTACAAGAAAAATTGCCAATAATAATTTTTATCATTTCTTTTATATCAAAATATTTCATATGTCGATTGAAATGATACTTTGATACATTTAAATTCAAAATCTTTTAAGATATTCCCTTTTTACCAATACACATGAACATTAATAAAGAAAAGAAAAGAAAAAAAAAAAAAAAAAAAAAAAAAAAAAAAAGAAAAAAAAAAGTATACATGAATTAAAACAAAAAAAAAAAAAGCAATAATGTATTTCATATTATTGTATTAAAGTATCTGGAAATATTCCATTACCATCAACATCATCAGTCTTCTGATGGAATCTGTACAAATCATCAACTGTATCTATGATAATATGTTAAATCAAAATGATAAATATCATTGGAACATTACGTACATAAAAATACAATCTAAGACTTAATCAAAATAAAGATAATTTTTTTTTTTAATCTTGTATAATGATATATAGCTATAAGATGTCAACAATTGTTTTAAAGATACAATTTAATATACAAAATTCCAAAAATTAATTGGAAGACATGTAGCATATGTGTTTACCATGAATGATAGTAAATTTATACTATCCATAAGACAACATTTTATATAAAATATATCATTAATTTGCGAATAACCATCTCCACAAAAGTGTTAAAGTGCTGATAGAATATTTCAAAAACTTTTTTTTTTTTTATCTATCTTTTACGATTCAAAAAATTCTTTTGCTAATATTGTAAAAAGTTTTTCTTTTTAAATATTAACTCTCTTTATCCTATTCAGAAAATATTTTGTGCTATTTCTTTATAATTTGTATTAAAATCTATACAGACCGTAATATTTAAAAAACATTATTACCATATATTCTAAAAATGTTAACTTTTGATTATTCATCCAAAAATATTTACCTTCTGTATAACAGTAATATCCATATTATTAATAGTAAGGGAAATAACAATGATAATATAAAAGAATAAATTCAATAGAATTGATGAATGATTCAAATTCAAGAAAATCGAAAACATTCAGCTATATGATTTAACATGTATTGAAATGCCGTTGAAGGCGAAGAGCCAAATCTTTGTCTCCATAGATACCTTGATATTATATGCTGACCCAATGTATGGGTAGTTTCTTGAATTTCTTCACATATTTCTACTCCCGTTTGCCAAATAGTTTCTTAAAAAAAAAAGAAGAAGAAAAAAAAAAGGAAGGAAAAAAAAAGAAGAAAAAAAAGGAGAAAACAGAAAGAAAAAAAGAACAAATAGACGATGTGATAAATAAATTTGCAGTGAAATACATGGGGAAGAAAAAAAAAAAAAGAAAAAAAAAAAAGAAAAAGAAAAAAATTATAAGAAAAGAATTTACCTAAATTCTCAAGAAGTTTACCCTTTCCTGGGGGATCAAATTTTTGTAATTGTTCAACGCTAATAACTTTATATTGCTTTAATTCTAATAATGATTCATAGCTACAGCAACGAGCTTTATTATTAGCTATAATATAACTTCCAGGTACTGTGTGCCGTGTTATTTCTTTCAAGGCCTCATCGACCATACTACATTTACTAACATCCTTTTTTATATTATCCATTTTGATTGGCTGAAAATGTAATATTGATGTATGAGGAAAAAAAAAGAAAAGAAAAAAGAAAGAAATGTAAAAATGCATTTAACATTAACTCTTTTACCTCTGGAATTGCTTCTATCATATGTAACCACATACGGGGTGGCAAAGTATTTGCTTCTGCTATACACACTATAGTATGAGAATTATTGTTACGTTTTTTATTAGTACTTGTATCTATATAATTTCTAGTCATACAACCCCCTGGGAATTCATCAACGATTACTATTGTACTCTTATCCCCTAGAATCCAATCTTCTGGATGGCTCATTACATACGTTTCTGAAACTTCGTCGCATCTTTCATAGACTTTCTTAACTATATGAGTTTTAATATCTGAAAATATATTGTAACAATTCTTAATATACTTTTTTTTTATTAAAGATATTTGACATTAAAAAATTGTAAACATTATTAAAACTATTAACCAAGATAAGAGGCAGCATCCTCATATGAAATCTTTTGACACCATCCTAATATCAATTGAAGGCACAATTTTAAATCACATTTTATCCCTAAAAAGAAGGACTTCTCTCTGATAGATTGTTTTTTAGTACAATCAGGACAAGTCCAATTATATTTATCAACTATCCTGGCAGGATTCCAAACCAAACTTCTTCCTTTACAATCCAAATGAGGACAATTTGAGACGGTACGAATTAAGCTCATTTCTTTTAACCAACCACATAACTCTCCTTCGTGACCTTGTTGTAACATTGGACGTACTACAACATCAAAATATCCTCCTTGATCCCCAAAATGGTCCGAACAGTCTCTGTTATATATAAATAAATTATTAATATCAAACAATGATATATACACATATATACAAATATAAAGATGAACTTTTAAATATATTTTAAATTTCACAAGTATTAAAATGAAAAAATTTTTGATTTCAAATATCTTAAACCATTACTATCATTATTATCATCATTACTATTATTATTATTATTATTTTTATCATTATTATTATTAAACATATTATTTATCAACAAATAAATCAATTTTATAAACTTAATATTATAAATCAGTGTTATATATGTTTATAATCTTCAAATACAAAATTTTTCTATATCATTCTACTATATATTTGTATGTTATAAGCTATTTGAAGTTAGGGAGAATACAAGAGGGTGAAAAAAATCAATACAGAAGTCATTCTTAATCAAGGTCCATGAATTTCATTCATAATGCTATTACTCTATGCTAATGAACTTTACTAATTTATCATATTATGTAAACGTGATCGTGAAGGAGAAAAAGAGAGAGAGAAAGAGAAAGAGAGAGAGAGAGAGAAAGAGAGGAAGTATGAGAGAAAGACAGAGAGAGAAAGAGAGAGTAAGAGAAAAATCATTAAAATACAAAGTGTATGTAAACAAATGCAGCTTGTCACGCACCGCATGCAACAAGTATCGTTGGAACAATCTAAAGCTTTTAATCTCTATATAGTTACCTTGCTGTTTTCACTTTCGCATTTTTCATCTTTCACATTCGCTCTTATATTATGTACTCGTAACTATACAAAAATACACCGAATTTAATTTAACATAATATATAAACAAAGTGAAAAACGTAAGGAGA